TGAAGTGCCAGGAAGGAGCAGCAGCCGTACCAAATCTCGGTGTGGGTGATGCCTGGGGAGCTGCGGGATGTGCCCAGCATGGTTTCAGCCTTGTGCTTCAGCAGCTGAGAGCTTTACACTGGCATTTTAGAGATGGCTGTACCTCTTGGGAAGGGGATGTGTGGGGGGAGAGCGATGACTTTCCCAGTGACAGGCCACCCCACAGGGTGACCATGGAGCACAAGGATGGAGTCAGCATGGGGACCTGTCTGGGGTAGCTAGCAACCACGAAGCAAAGCCAAGGAGGGCACAAACCTTATTGAATTTACAGCCGTGGGGTTGCATCCATTGTTAGGATGCTGGTCACCGTGTGCTGTATAGGAGTGTCTCACCTCGTGCTGTGGTTTCTTGTTCTTGGGGTTTTTTTCCCAGTTCAATTGATTTTCTTACAATTATTCCATATCCCCTCCCTGCTGTGTTAAATCCTTGTCCTTTGCACTTGTGGATGGGTGTACACAAAAGAGATAGTCCAATCTGGGGGACAGTGGGACAGCCTGATGCCAGGCCTCTGAGGGTAGCCCTTCATGGGGCATTTTTTCTCCACCAGCCTCACAGGCCATGGGCAATGACCACCATTCTCGCAGGACCTGTCACCAAGCTCTGGCTGCTGTAATGCCAAGAGCTACATGCTGCCAAGCTGGGGCTTTAGACTTGGTGCTCCCAATCCAGCAGTGTCTCCCTGCCCTGCTCCATCTCCATGCTTTCCCAAAAATTTAGTCTAGCCCCAGGGCATGTTTCTGTTGGAAGATCTCTTTCCTGCTGGCTGGAGGCAGTGAGGATGGGAGCAGGATCCTCTGTCTCTTCCTGCTGCCCCTAAGCCCTGCTTTGTCCTAGGGCAGCCATGAGTGCTCCAGCTCCTGTTTGGGATACCAAGGGTTGCTTTTCATAGGATCATAGAACCATGGAATGAATTGGGTTGAAGAGACCTTAAAGACCATCTAGTTCCAACCCCCCTGCCATGGGCAGGGACACCTTCCACTAGACCAGGTTGCTCAGAGCCTCATCCAGCCTGGCCTTGAACACTTCCAGGGATGGGGCATCCACAACTTCTCTGGGCAACCTGTGCCAGTGCTTCACCACCCTTTCTGTGAAGAATTTCTTCTTGATATCCATATTCATGCCAGTGGGTTTGCTCTGAAATCCTCACACTGGTAGCTGCACTACAGATGCCACACTCATGCACATCATCAGTTTCACTTGCTACTCATCTTGGGTCCAGTTTAGTGCTGTCAGATGCTAATGCTTTCCATCCAGCTCTGGCACTTCCTTTAAAGCTCTCTCCACCTACTGCTGCTTCTGTGTCAATGGGTCCCTTCTAATTGTTGTTGGGTTTGGTTTTTTTTTTCCTCCTGTGTTGTTTAAATGATCTTCATAGCACTGTTTTCTGTAGGGATTCATAGGATCACAAAATTCTTTGTTTTCAGACTAGATCCTGGCTCTGCTTTGCATTTTGAGTTTCAACTTTTCCGTGCAGAACAAGGAAGGGAAAGAATTGTCATAATTTCATGTTTTCATTATTTACATTTTTTTTACATAGTCGCTGTAAGAATATGCACGAGACTGGTAGAGCAAACAGACTTGGTGTACACCTCCCCTTAAAAGCAAACCAGACCTCCTTTGGTGTGAGAGTCCGTAACTGCATTGGGTTCTTTCACACGCCCGTACGGATGTGGGGACAGATGCATTTTCATTACTTCTAGGCAGAAGCAAGCAGAAGGGGCAACTCCTGGGAATCCCAGACACCATTTTTTTTGGCATTTTTGGAGGTGATTGCTTCTCTGATCCTCTTGAAGATGGTGTCTCTGAATTACTATACAGCCTCCTAGATGCTATTTTCTGTGTGGGTGTTAGCTGGTATCAGGAAACCCTCTTTTTAGACCCAGTGTGTGCCTTGAGGAAAACTATGTGTACATTTCTGCATGTCTCATCTTTGCGTCCTTATGTGAACGCCCTGTTTTCCTCTGATCTAGTGTAGAAACAACTTTCTTGTAAATATACACATACATGTATTTGTGCCCCTTCCTTCTTTTTTTTTTTTTGAAGCTGTTAAAAAGTACAAAAGGTTTTGTAAATACCATATTTGAATGTGTGCACATTTCTGGGTTTTAGGGAGAGATTCTTCAATGATTTGGCATTTGTGGGTTTTTGTTTGTTTGTTTAAAGGCAAATAATTTTTTTTTTAGATCCATCCCCTCTATAATTTTTTCCTTGTCATTAAAAAATTTGTGTGCAAGAATTTTTCTCCTACACAGCATAAACATCTGCTTTTGTTAAGTAACAAACAAAATGTTTTTGCCAGTTCTTCTGAACGTTGGGATAGCTTTTGATGCAAAATATAAAGCGACGGCCAAGTTTTGATGTTTCTGTGGCTTACAATGCATTGAAATAGTAGAATCAGTCCTTTCTTTTATGTTTTTCAAAAGACTGGAGGATGAGAAATACCCTTTAATCTTTTTATGCATTTAATTTGAATTGCTTTTATATTGCTGGGTACCTAGGAAAACTGAGACGGTTGGTGAGTGTGGGGGTGGAGGGAGCACAGTGGAGGACGTAAGGCCTGTGATGGTTCCTTGTTTTCATCTGGAAGTGGCTGCCATAAACACGCTGGAGGGGATCAGGAGAGTGGAGAATGTTTGTCTCACTCGTCTCTCAAACTGTTTTGCCAAAGGATGAAGGCGGCAAATGCCTTTGTTGTACGAGCCAAAGTAAACGTACAGGGTGAGCTCCTCTAACGCACACGCTGATTTTTGCTTCACCAGGTGTTTGTGATAAGAAGAGCTGGCTACCCCCAGCAAAATGTCCTTGGGGGGCTGGGGACAGAAGATAGAGAAAGGGAGACAAGGGACAATATTCAAATGCTTCTTGAGGTAGACGTTATAATAAATGCATGTTTGAGTTTAGGCAGCATTTGGAATGTGGTGGATGAGAGACCGTTTTCTTTTTCAGACTTCTTTTCCATATACGAGGCCATGTTATCTAAACTCTGGGAAGGCACAAATAAGAGGAAATAAGCATGCGGTCATCTTTGTGTGTGCTTAAACACAGCACCCACCTCTGCAGGGAGGTCTGATGAAGTGTTCATGTTTTGTTTTGAAAGGAGGGCCTGGCTGCGCATCTCCATGTACGTTGGGGATTTCTGTAACTTCTGGAAAGGCAGATGCACGGAGAGGGATACGTGTCCTGGTGCTGCCAGGCCTGTGAGAGGGAGAGGTAAAGGGGGTTGTCAGGGCTCTTCTTCTTCAGAATCCCTGGAGTGTAGCCTCGAGGACAAGTGGAGAGGGAGGGGGCACAGGGGCAGAGCTGGCAGTTGAGATAATAGCAAGGGGTTGTTCCGTAACGAAGAACTGATGTTCCTCATTCCTTCTCCTGCTCTAATAAATACAGTATGGAGAAGGCTGAAAGCAAATTTCTCATGTTAAATTTTTGCCGTTTTGGTCGTGACCCCAGACCTCATTATTCTCAAGCTGTCTAAGCGTGAAACAAAATCAAGTTAATGAATTTTGAATACTGTATGAAATGAACTGAATGCAGTCTAGTGTTAATAAATGGCCTAAATGCTTCTCTCCTACGCTGTGGTACCAAGGAGGGAGTTTTCTTGTCGGTGGTGGGAGTAAGGTTTGTGGTACTGAACCTGATCCAGTGACCCCCTCCCTGCACTAATTCTCAGCATTAGTTGCTTTATTGAATGGTGGAGAGACCGTGGCTTTGCAGACGAGTGAATGGACTCATTGCAGTAGCTTGTGTCTATATATTTAGTAGTTTAAGCTGCCTTAAGTCACAGACATGAATGTTGATGTTCTGTCCGTGAAACCTGACAATGTGGGACTTGTCCCTCACCTTCTCAAACTTCCTTATCACTTGACGCCAGCAATTTCCTTTGATGACTGTCTGTGCTCTGATTACCTGTTCTGTGAGAAGCATTGCCTTTACTGCCTTTTATTTTTTTTAACATTTCATTTTTACTTGAGTTGAAGGCACCAAATTGCAGAGTTCCAGGACTGTGGAACTGTGATCTGGCTGCAGGATAGTCCACTTCTAATTGATCTACTTCAATACTGGCCATTACAACTTGAAAATCCGTGTTGGATCAAACCAGTGAGTTCTTGCGGCTCAATATATGGTTTTTCTTATGTGCCTCTCAAAAAGGTAGAAGAAACTAAAAGATAGAGGAAGTATCTGCATATAGATCTGTGTCTTTTAAGATCTTTGTCAGGTGTAGATTTTAACTTATAGATTTGTATATATGCAGACAGCCCAGGCCCATGTGTACAGATCTTCAGACATCATGCAACTGGTCCTCCTGGTGCCAGCTGGTTTTAGGCCTAGGGAAACTCTTGATTCTGTTTTCTGTGGGTGTCTTGGTTTGGTTTGAACTCCTGCTGAGCAATAGCAGGTTGGGCAAACAGAGCCAGCTTCTGGCATTTCATAGATTGGTTTGGGTTGGAAGGGACCTTAAAGACCATCTAGTTCCAACCCCCCTGCCATGGGCAGGGACACCTTCCACTAGAGGCATTTGCAGAGACATTCATCGCGCTCTGCCGTGACCCTTTGTGTAGGTGACAGTGTGCTCTGAAGAGCAGGGCTCACTCGAGCTGCATGGTGGAAGTGCCCTGTGGCTGCAGAGAGCTCAGGTTTGAAACGATTGGTTTGGGATACGGAGACAAGTTTGCTTTTATGTCCACAGTGAATATTTTTTAAATTGCTGCTCAAGGCAAGTGTCAGAGGCCTCCTTCATCACTGTGGGCATAGCTAAATGGTAATATATTGAAAGTGTAGGTTAACGCTGTGAAGTGTTTTGGCAGTATAGACTGACTTGAGAACACTCCTAACATGCTTGAGAGCACATGCCAAATATTGCTGCTTTTACAGTCCTAAAGATATATGAATTTATTTTTATTTTTTCTCTTGCTCTCTAGGCTTTGTCCAACTCTGATTCTCCTCCTGCCTGTGAGCTGAAGCCTACAATGAAACACAGTTTTGCTTTTGACAACATGGGCTATGAGGAGAGCTTTGAAACTGTGCCCTCTCCATCTTCCCAAGAACATACTGTGGCAGTCAACGTTGTGGGAATGACTTGCCAATCTTGCGTGCAGTCAATAGAAGGCCGAATTTCCAAGGTGAAGGGCATTGTGAGTATTAAAGTCTCACTTGAACAGAACAACGCTGTAATAAAGTATCTGCAGTCAGAAATAAGTCCTGAACAGATCTGTGAGGAAATTCAGGATATGGGCTTTGACGCCAACGTAGCGGAAGAGAGCCTGACAACAGCGACCGTAAATGTGTCGTGCTCCAGAGAGGCAGTAGTTAAGCTTCGAGTAGAAGGCATGACATGCCAGTCCTGTGTCACCAACATTGAAGGGAAGATCAGGAAACTGCATGGGGTGGCGAAAATCAAGGTGTCACTGGCTAACCAGGAAGCAATGATTGCTTACTCTCCTTACATCATTCAGCCTGACGACCTCAAAAGCCGTATCAGTAACCTGGGGTATGACTGCACTATTAAAAGTAAATCAGCCCCTTTGAAGCTGGGTGGCCTCGACCTTGGGCGCCTGCAGAATGTGAACCCCAAGGAGACAGCGGCAAGTCTCGGGAGTGATGGGGAGGATCCACCTGTGGCCAGGACAAGCGGCGCAGCTACGGTGGCTGTACGGATAGAAGGCATGCACTGCAAGTCCTGTGTCAGAAACATCGAAGGAAATATATCAGATCTTCCCGGCATACAAAGTATTAAAGTGTCTTTGGAGCATAAACGTGGTGTGGTACAGTATAGCCCAAATTTAATTACTCTGTCTGCTTTGCAGCAAGCTATTGAATCCCTTCCACCTGGAAACTTTAAAGTATATCTCCTTAATGGTTCGGAAATTAGTAAGGGAGCATCTCCATCACTTGCTTTGCTACGGGATCTCTCCAGAGGGCCACTGCAAGACCAGACATGCACGACTGTTATTAGGATTGATGGCATGACCTGCAGTTCCTGTGTACAGTCCATAGAAGGGACCATATCCCAAAGACAAGGAGTGCAATGTATAGCAGTTTCTCTAGCTGACAGAACTGGGACCGTACATTATGATCCAACTGTCACTAATGGAGAAGAGTTAAGAGCTGCCATAGAAGACATGGGATTTGATGCTTCTGTGCTGACAGGTAACAGTGGGGTTTTTTTTCCATGGGTAGCATGTCAAGCTGGGCCATGCCACACCTCTGTTGAAACTCCCTTCTGGAAGGAAACCCTTAGTACACCACATGGGCATTGTCTTTTCTAAGGGACTGGCCTGATCTGACCTTGCATAGCAAGGGAGAGAGATTTCAGCTGTGAAGCACCTTATTTCAGCCCTTAATAACTGCATTAGTGGGTTGAGTTGAGTTATGTTATAAAGCCAAAAGGTTTGGAAGTTGGCACAAGGTCTTTCAAATGGCTGATCCACTGAAGTAGATTTCCGCCTATGTCTACAGGCTGCTGTAAGCAGACCTATCAAACCAAACGTTTTCATACTAAACCCCACAAACTTCATGAAATCTCTTTAATTTAAAACCACTTTTTATCTAGCTAAAATCTCTTTTTAGTGTCCTAATCCTCTGACCTTTATTTCCTGAGTATTTTTACTAGCCCTGATTAACTAAGCCTTACTTGAAGCAAAGGTGTTTAAGAACAGGTGCTTTTATGTGTCAGCTGCAGCACAGTTTGTACATTTTGTACATGTGCTCAATGTTGAAGAAGTTGCTATGGTGCATAACCTTCTCTCTAGTGAATTTCAAATGTGGAAATATTTATCTGCTTCAACTCAACATATTTGCTTTGAGATACTGATGTAGTTTACCTGGAATGAATTAGTTCGATCCTGATAGACCACATTCTATTAGCTTTTCTCATGGGTCCAATCCCTCTAATTCTGGGAAACTGCTACAGATGAGGAGAAGCCCATATATGATGTTTAATCATGATTTGTTTAGTTTATAATTTGTAGGTGGGAGACCTCCTGATCCATCTGTGGAAAAGGAGGGGAGTCCCTGTGTTTAACATGTTCAGAAGGAATTCTTGCTTTTTTACATGGACGTCTGTCCAAGGGAGGCAGTTTGTGAATTCAGGTGGAGCTGTTGGGTGTCCAGTATCTGTCAAAGAACAAAACATACAGCAACAAGCCTGTATGTGTGGAGGTCTTTGGGGTGCTGCAAATCCTTCCACTACTTGTTTTGTAGCACTTACTGTGTAAATATTGTTCCATAAAGAGAAACCTATTGAGAAGCTTGTCCTTTTCCTTGTTTGAGATGAGGTATGATGAGACAAGGGCAGAATGGATGTGAGACTGGACCACATTCTCTGTGTTGGATAAGGACCCTCTAGACACCAATATGCCTTTATTGAATGGAGGTAGCTGTCAGGTCTAGGCATTGAAATTGGAGGGAATTATTTGTCATCTGAAAGTGGAAAACCAGTTCCATAGAGTTAAATGGTCACACAAGTTGTTCTGGTGAGTGTATATTGCTATATGCATAGCAACAATCTATATTGTTTCTGTGAGGAGACCAAGATTACCATGTCACCTTTCAAACAACTAAGACACTTTGCATGATTGATAAATGTGACTTGCTTGTAGTTTTACAACATCCGATCGCACGGTAAATAGTGTTCGTTCAGTTTATTGTGCATTTATTCAAGATACCGCTGCTGGAGGACATAGGCACCAGCCTGATGCCAGAAATACTGTTGTGCAGCCTCAAGCTCCAGAGCCTCCTTGCCAAGGCTGTGCCTTGGATGCTCTTCCTGACAGTCCTCACCTTGACGGGCCAAACCAGCCCAATGGAGCAACAGTGGAAAAGTGTTTCTTACAAATCACAGGCATGACCTGTGCGTCGTGTGTGTCCACCATCGAAAGAAATTTGCAGAAAGAAGATGGTAATAAATTTAATATTCCTACACTGAGTCTATAAGGGACTATGGGGTGGATAAGGTATTCAATGCGGTTAACAGAAGAGGCTGTGGTACAACATCTGGAGGTTAAATAGACTTAATGCCCTTTCTTAGTGCTAACGTAGATATCCTACTGCACTGGTGGACAAACCCAATGGACATACTTGTAACAATAAGTTGTTTTAGTGTGATCATAATTTCAAACAAGGTTCAAGACAAGAACAGAGAAATGGGTTTTATTTAGTTTTCAGGGTATTATTTCTTTACAGAACAATCCATCACTTCCAGAGCTGTTGAGAGCTCCAGCAGGTCTGTGATATGAAACTTATCCTTCAGGGCACATTTGCACAGGCAGGTACAAACAAATGTGTGGCTCCAGTGCCTGGGTAATTATATTAACTTAGGCACAGCAACACTTATTAGGTTAGAAGTCTGCAGACTGGAGGTGCCTTTCCTCTGGCCATACAGAAGATGAACAGATGAGCCTCAGCAATGTCTAATTTATTTTGTGTAGGAATGCCTCTGGAGGGTTTTGCTTATGGATTCCTGTGCCCTCAGTCTCTCAGTGATGGTCTCACTGCCTTGATTTAAAAATACAAGAAACTATTAGCACTTCAGAACAATCTTTTTTGCCTGTGATTTTTTTCTGTTTTGTTTTTCAATTCTAGATGTAGATTTGTGTGGTTTTATTTATTTTGAAAAAGAAGAAAAAACCCCAAATGGCAAACCAAGAAAAGTCAAAGGCCAAAGGTTGTGCTCTGAGGCATTCCAGACTTAGTCCAGGGTAGAGCTTGCAGCAATGAGCACAAAGATTGCTTCTGAGCATCCTTTTTGTCTCATTAGATCATAGCAAAACTCACCTCCTTCCCTGTGTAACTGTTGTGGTTCCTCCCATCGCTAAGGGGAACTGCAGTGTGGCTGGATCTCAGAAAAACTGCTGTTGTGACTAGGGAGCAACACTAGAAGGAGGCAGAGAGAAATCATTAGGCCTGTAACATCTCAAAGTTCTTACAGCCCTTGTTGACAAATGCTTGTAATATTTTATTTTTCTTCCCTTCGAAGGAGTTACATTATCTAATATTTTTATAATCGCCACTGCAGGAATTGTGTCAGTGTTGGTAGCACTGATGGCAGGCAAAGCAGAGGTAAAATACAAGCCAGAATTCATACAGCCTCTTGAAATAGCACAGCTGGTCCAGAACCTGGGTTTTGAAGCTACCATCATAGAAGATCATGCAGAAACAGAAGGAAATGTGGAGCTTCTTGTAAGTCATGCGTATTTGAAGTTGCATGTTGGTTTTGGAAAAGTCACATCTGGAAGAATAATTTCTTGCAGAGGTTTTTGTTCAAGGAGTTGTGTCTTCAGTAGGTCAGTTCTGGCTGGTGACACTATTTTTTCTTAACTGCTTAAAAATACAAAATTTGTCTTAGAAGAACCTGTCCAAAGGTGCTGAAATAAAAAGTGATAGTTGTGTGTACAGAATAGATTTTTCTTAGCAAGGAGAAATGAAACAGAACTTTTCTGAGAAGGCACTTCAGTCAACAGTGCAGACTCTGAGCAACTGAGAATGTATCACCAAACATGAGTTGATAATGCCTGGGGCTTCGTATAGAGGTCTGAGAACTTTAGGTAAAATTAGTAAATTGTTTATATGAAGGGCAGGTTCTTCAAAAGTCTATTCTCTGACATATACCTACTACAAGACAGGTAACAACAGTCTGCAGTTGTGCTAATAGATCAGAAAGTGGGTACATGTCTTCCTGAAGCCACAGGAAAGTTTGTGAGATGAAGTTACACATGTAGAGTTGGACTTTAGCAATATAGATGCTGATAGAACTGTATTAGCTATACTGTTACAGTTAATACAAGGTAGGAGTGCTGCTATACAAATATATAGCTGTGACTATAACTGCTGATGGCAGAGTTTTATAATAAATGTGGATAGTTATGTTCTCAGCTTTGTTTTATCTAAGACAGCTCTATAAAATTTGTATGCTGAAACCTTGGGTCAGTACCAGCAGAGCTTGAATAGTCATTAGTATTTTTATGACGTGGGAAGGCCTTGTCTCAAATTCATTTGCAAATTTGGGTGAATGTGGGAGACTGCTACTGTACCGAAATTTGTCTTTTCTTTAGATTACAGGAATGACTTGTGCGTCTTGTGTTCACAATATTGAATCTAAACTCATGAGAACAAATGGCATATTCTACGCTTCAGTTGCTCTTGCTACTTGCAAAGCTCACATCCAGTTTGATCCTGAAATTACGGGGCCTCGAGATATTATAAAAATAATAGAGGTAGGTTTTAGAAATTTTTTTATGTATGAACAATCATGACAAGGAATTTAAAAAGCAAATAAAGCAGCTGATAATTGAGAAGTTTCACTGACTTCTTCAGGTGACATGATAATTGCTGTATGTTTTTATGCTCTGCAGTGAAGCTGCTGTGCTCCACACTAATGCACAGTCTCCCAGGTTGTTACTCTAAAAAGACACTCGAAAAACTACAAAAAGAAACTTTTCTTCTCTCTATCTGGTAAAAGTGTTGTATATTCATTTCTTGCAGTTCTGTGTATAGAATCATGTGTCTCTGATTTCCAGTCATTGCAGTGAAGTGTTGATACTTCAGAAAAAAGATACTACTTTCTCTTGCCAAGGAAAGAGGCTGTAAAAGAAGTTTTGCAACAGCTCATACCACAAGTATTACACATCTCTGTATACTCTGGCAGCTATTCCCACATCAGCTCAGAGAACTTTTTAAGCTGAAAGAGCTTGTGATACAGCCAGTAAAGGAAAAAAATCGTGGCTTACCGGTAACCACACAGATGATAAAATCTGCCATTATCATGGCCTAGGTGTGGACAGAACTTTTGCCTTCTCTGCTGCACCAGAAAGGAAGAGAACTTACTGTATGAGTCAGGAGGACAGCTGAGACTGTTTGCCTTTCGTGTTCTAGAGTATTTACTCAGAAAAAAGATCCTAGACTGCAGAATTGATGCAGCAGCAGTGATTACACATGTTAACAGTAGACTCTTCAGGCTGGCAAAGTAGTTCCGTAAAGTGCATCTTGCCTCTTGCATCATAAGGTGCTGCTGTGTCATGAGATGAAGTTTAAATGCATTGTGCTTGCAGATGGGCTTCGTTGGGGTTTTTTTGTGGGTGTTCGGGTTTTATTTTTTCGGGGGTGGTGGTGTTGGTGGTTCTACTGCAGTAACTCACTGAAGCATCACTCAAAACTGACTTTTTGCATATATTTTTTTCTGGGATGCTTTGGCCCACAGTTTATGGTTTTACAGGTTTAAACTGATTCTAGTCACTTTGATTTTCAACTTTAGGTGTATCTGCTCAGCTGTGGTGTTAAGGAGATTCTTGTAAGGTTGACTAGCCCAGTGGCTTGTATATTTTTACCTTCTTTTGTGGTATTTCCCATCTCTCATACTTATTCCAGTGGAGATGAAAGGACATGAATTTCCCCTGAGGAGGTGTGCTGCAGAACTCCAGCTATCAGTGGGAGCTTCCTGTGCCTAAGAAACCTGGAGCACTTACTACATCTATACCCTGTGTCCATGCATAGGTAGCAGAATTCCTTTGCAGACCACATTTTGAGTACTGTCTGAAATATCCTCTCATGTTGGTGGTATCTAAAAGTAAATAGGAAGTTGGCATTTATTAAATATGGAACGGTGTCCTTTTCTGACACTTCTTCTAAAAGTAGTGTCATTTAATATGCTATAAGGAATATGGCTAGTTTAATCAAAACTGACTCATCTTTCCTCCCCTTTCAATAAAAAGGAAATTGGCTTTCATGCTTCTGTGGCTAGAAGAGTTCCAAATGCACATAACCTGGATCATAAAAAGGAAATACAGCAGTAAGTATTTCTCTTTCTCTCTCACTAATGAACGTTTATAGATCATCTCATGAAACACATCTCCCTCTGCCCCTTCCCAGTTAATTTAGCTTATCCTTGTGTAAAGCATATTTAACATTACAATTTGCTATTTGGTTCAAGTAATTTTACTACTTTCATTAGTTTCAGGTTTTAACTGATAGAAGTCTATACACTTAAACATGTAAGAGACACTGAAACTATCCCAAAGCATTGGATCTTTCCTAAATATCCCAAAGCTGTGTGTTAGTACGGTACTAATCCCCCAAATTTCCCACTCTGAGTGCACTGTTTGGCCTGTGTACTGCGGGGTGTACAACGACCAAGGATTTACAGCTTCTATTTTTCAGGTGGAGGAAGTCTTTCTTGTGCAGCCTACTGTTTGGTATCCCTGTCTTGATCCTAATGATTTATATGCTAATACCTGCCAGTGAGCACCATGGGTCTATGGTGCTGGAACAGAATATCATTCCTGGATTGTCTGTTTTAAATCTTCTCTTCTTTGTCCTGTGCACTTTTGTTCAGGTATGTCCACAGTACTTCCTAGGGGTTTGCTTTCTATTCACCTCCCATTTATGCAGTCTGATGTGATAAGGACTGGAGAGTGGAAAGGTTTAGTGGATTAGCTCTGCCCTCTTCTCTGTACCACCTACGCAGAAGGAAGTGGCACTTTCCTGCAAGTTATCCATTCTGTAATTGCTCACAGCACTTACTCCTGCCAAAGTTGCATAAGGTAGTTTTCCAAGTGGGGAAGATGGTGTTAAAATGAAGACATACCTGATTAGCTGCAAACTAATTGGGTAGCTATAGGTAAATCCCTTCAACTCAGTGTGCCTTGTTTACTTTGCGTTGCTGAGGAAAAGGATGATATTGAGCTGGCAGAGTTGTTTTGAGAACAAGGAAGGGTAAGTGAGAGGGTGACAATGGAGTCAGCCTCCTAGTAGACCTCTCCACTGAAGTTATATCAGTATAAAATTTGCATGGAAAAGCAATGTCTTCCCTCATCTACTACATGTTTATAAATCTGCTCTAGGCAGTATTACATAGTCTCTGCTTTCACTGCTGTGATCTTAATACGAGTCTGTCCATGCTTACACCAACAGTTTCTTGGTGGATGGTATTTTTACGTACAAGCTTACAAATCACTGAAGCACAAGACGGCCAATATGGATGTGCTCATCGTACTGGCCACAACAATTGCTTATGTGTATTCGTGTGTGATCCTGCTGGTAGCAATAATTGAAAAGGCAGAGAAAAGCCCTGTCACTTTCTTTGACACTCCCCCGATGCTGTTCGTGTTCATTGCCCTAGGGAGATGGCTGGAACACATAGCAAAGGTAACTCATCTTCACCCTAATTATTGTGTCTTTATGATGAGAGAGGTGGGTAAAATTGTTCTGAGGAATTTTGAGTCAGATGTTTCTGATGTAGCCTAAATTCTACAAGGTCATTTCCAGTTCATTGTGCTGAGTAGACATCAGCATTTATATATCTCAGTATATCTTAAAACAATTATCTCTGTTTCTTAGAGTAAGACCTCAGAAGCTCTTGCTAAACTTATATCTCTTCAAGCCACAGAAGCCACCGTGGTAACTCTTGGACCTGACCACTCTATCATTAGGTATATATATATATATATATGAACCAAACACCTTCAGTGGTTAATGTGAAGGCATTATTATTCTTTTGAAGCTGATGGCGTAAATAATCCATCTGTTGTACTTGTGTCTTGCAGGGAGGAGCAGGTAGCTGTTGAACTGGTTCAAAGGGGTGATATTGTAAAGGTTGTTCCTGGTGGAAAGTTCCCAGTGGATGGAAAGGTCATTGAAGGCAGTTCTATGGCAGATGAGTCTCTCATTACTGGTAACTTCCCTTACACATATGCAAAGTGAAGTCATCTAGAACACTTTCTTACAAGGCAAGAGAGCAGACCCAGCCCAAAAGCTGCTGTCTGAATAACCTCCCATCTTAATGGATGCTGTGCCCGGCCTTTGTGGGCTTGACTCCAAATCCCATGTCTATACACACCTTAAAAACCAGAAGTTTGGTCACTTTTACTAATGTACTGATGGGATGGGTGGTGTGTAAACACTATTGTCATTATTGGAGAGATATGACGGGAGTGTCCTCTGGAATGCATTTGTAGAAATGGTGCCTTCTCAGAAATAACTTGTAAATGGCGATGGGGAAATAATGCTGAGCTGTCGGGGTGTGTAGGCATGGGCACTGAACAAGGCTTCTGACAGGGACCTCCCAGTGAGCAAGAAGAGGGAAAGAAAGCCTCACAACTTGATGATCATTATGGGTCATGGGACTTTTTCACAGCTTCTGACATGTTCATCTCACTTTGTAAATGTAATAAGGATTTATTCCCTCATGCAATTCTTATAAATAAGGTCAAGGGTATAATAATTTTACATTGTCATTGGCCTACTTGTTTTAGTTATGTATTTATTTGGGGAACAAAGATACTCTTAGTTTAACAGAACCAGTCATTATCACTAACCCTAAAAATAGAGAAAATAAAGATTTTTTTTGAGCTAGTATCCAGTGTGAGAACAGGAGCTTTGCCACAGATACAACTTTTCTGGTCTTTGAAAACTGAGGGTTGTGGGAATAAAAGATTGCTCAAACTCCCATGGCCATGCAAAGTATTAACTGGAGAAATCCTTAGCAATTTTCTCCTGGCCCTTTTGGGGGATGGCATACTGGAGAGTTAGGACCAAGGAAACAGTATTTGTGTTGAAACTAAACCTAGAAGAAGGCTTATACAAGTGTGACAGCGCTTATACATGTCTTCACTAGACAGAGGTATACAATATGTGATTTCTTGTCATTATTGCTTAACATGCTGGTTCTGCCAGCATACAATGAGCTGTGGGCTAATGAACTACATTCACTCTTATTAGGGGTATTGCCTTATTTATTCTTACCTTTTCTTTCTAGGGGAAGCTATGCCAGTCACTAAAAAGCCCGGAAGCACAGTGATCGCTGGTTCTATAAATGCACATGGCTCGGTTCTTGTAAATGCAACTCATGTTGGTAACGACACCACCCTGGCGCAAATCGTGAAACTGGTAGAAGAAGCTCAAATGTCAAAGGTAAAAATAATAGAAAGAAAACCCTTACCCACAGATTTTGATTACATGAGAAAAAGATTCTGTATTTTTATATATTTACTTGTTCAACAAACTGTGTGTTTGCCAGACTTCAAAAAAGAATCAGATGAAGAATATTAGATATTTTTACAAACATACGTCGGTGCTTTGATCCTAAACATACAAATATGTGTTTTTCTTTTTTTCTAGGCACCCATCCAGCAACTGGCAGATAAGTTTAGTGGATATTTTGTTCCATTTATCATCATCATTTCATCAGTGACATTGATAGTATGGATCATAATTGGGTTTATAAATTTTGATGTTATTCAAAAATATTTTCCTGTAAGTAATTTCATTAAGAGATGGATTTTGGTGTTAGGATATCTTCCAGTGTACTTAACATACCTTCTGTGTGGAGGGTTTGATGTTGCAACCTGGCAAATACTTTTGTATAATGTGGTGTTTTCTACACAGAGCAGATATTTGCACTAATTAACATTTATCTACAGGCATAAATACACCTTTACATTTATCCTTCAGTGCTGCATGGGGTTTCTTGCAAACTGAAATTATTGGCAGTCTTTCTGCACTAAGCATGATCTATAGGTACACTGCAAGAGGCTGAGCCATTCCTGTATCACTTGAAAGTTTTTTTTGGACATTCTTGTTCCTAATGGCAGGTTTGGGTTTAGAAAGCTTCTGTTACCTTTAGGATGTGTATGTGCTGTGCTCAGCAACTGTGGGGATCTGTATACCTGGAAATAGGGTTCGCCTTTGCTAAGCAATAGAGGAAATCCGAGTAAGTTATATTGTCATCTGGGAGCCTGAGAGCAGAATCAAGCATATGTGTGCTTGAGCAGAAAAAATACTGCCATAGACAATTCAAAACATTATCCCTTCTCTACCATTACAGTAACAATAATAGATTGCTTTCCTACACTGGAGGTTTCCAGGTAAATGTGTATTTTGAAATAGCTGATTGACTGTACATCTGTGTTATCTTCTATCAGCAATCATACATATCTATTTTTTCCCCCCTCTCTTCCCTCTTCTTGCAGAATCAGAACAAACACGTTTCAAAAGCTGAACTAATCCTGAGGTTTGCATTTCAAACCTCAATCACTGTGCTGAGCATTGCATGCCCCTGTTCCTTAGGCTTGGCTACCCCCACAGCTGTGATGGTGGGCACGGGAGTTGCTGCGCAGAATGGTATTCTCATCAAAGGGGGAAAACCCCTGGAAATGGCACACAAGGTTAATAGCTCATTCTGTACTTTTGTAGCTTACCCAGCTGTTGCTGCATGAAATATAATTTCCCAAGAAATCCTACTGGTCCAGAGAAAGACTGTAGAATGTAGTTTGGGTTTGGATTTTTTTTCCCTATTGGTTGTTAAGATAAAGATGACAGATCTGACCTTCTTTCTTCCAAGTAGTCACAGCAAAGTGTTGAGAGCCAGCAATTCCTGCAATCTCATGCCAGTGAGACTGCTAATCTTCTGTATGACCTCAGAGGTTTTGGACTTCTGCACTTTCTTTATCTTTTCTGCAAAAGACCCCAGTAATCAAGTATTTTCCTTCTTTCCTGACAGGGCTGTTGTGAAATGTATATTGTTCATGATCCGTAGTTTCAAATTTAGGATGTAACAGAAATCAGAACGATTTGAAGTTGTTTTGGTCTATAGAAAAGAAGATGGAAGGGAGGCAGAAAAAGCCCTTGAAAGACACAAAACTGATGGAAAGAGGAGATTGAAGGAAGAGGAGGTTTGACATGTACACAGCCAGTGAACAGAAGATGAGTTTAAACCATGCTATGGTAGACTGGATTAGACATAGAACATTTTAAGTGAAAAGGATGGTAAGAGTAAGTCAATCAGACTGATAATTTGTGTTCTTATTGGACATTATTAAGAATAGACCAGAAGTTTTTCCAAGGTTCTGCAAAACAAAACAAAAAAATAATGCTAATTGGTGTCAGGTCTTTTTTCCTTTTGAATCTAAGTGAGGCTAGGGTTGGGACTTAGAAAATTAGGTGACCCGTTGGATTCTGCAAGGTTGGTGTGTTGGAATAGCTGGGAATGGAAATAATGCCTGCTTTGTTGGGTTTTTTGCTTCGTGTGTTTCTCTGTGCCGTGTTTATTTGCAGGATTAGAACTGACTTTAACTTTGGGTTTGAGTGTACATGGGGCTGAGTTTTTTGGTTCTTTCCTGATTCCTCAAGACCCACTGGGCTGGCTAACAGGTGATTGCTGAATTTGGTGAATAGCATGAGGTTGGTTTTGGTTAGGTGGTTGTTTGCGGAAGTGGTTGCAGCTTCTTGCACCCTTCCCACCTGCTCCTGCTCTATCACCAAATATCTTCCTGAGTCCTCTTTCCTCAGTGCTATTGTTAATTGTTTAGAACAGCATTTGTAAGAGCCCTCCATGCATCGTATACCTCGTGGTAAAAATGATTAGGGTGCTGTTACGTGAATCCTGCATATGACCACATACACGCACACACAAAGGGCAATACAAGTCCTGCAATGACTCTGACTACAATCCTGACATATCATAGATCCTGATACAGGTACAGGATGAGGCTGTACCTTCAGTGAAATCACTGCGTTGGGGAATGAGTAAGAAAGCATAAGGAGACCTACTGTGCAGATAGCTCAAGATGTACAGGAATCCCCACTTTTGTAGGTTTATTCTGTCTTGGTGTGGATATAATCAACTGTTTATTAAGGTCTCACCTGCATTTATGTGCCCAAAGTACATGAACACCCTTATGCTCGCAGGGCTCAGGCAGTAACTCTGGCTTATTTCTTGCAGATCAAGACTGTGATGTTTGATAAAACTGGCACCATCACCTGCGGGGTTCCTAAAGTCATGAGGGTGCTTTTGCTGGGAGACACGGCTGTGCTCTCCCTGAAGCAGGTTCTGGCGGTGGTTGGCACTGCAGAAGCCAGCAGTGAGCATCCTCTAGGAGTGGCAGTCACTAAATATTGCAAAGAGGTACTTCGCCTTTCTATTTCACCTAAGGCATGAAGGGAACTGGCAAATGCAGGAATGTCGTATAAAATGAGCAAGTCCCAGAGGGACAGGCCTGCCTGAAAGGCAGCAGGCTGGAAAGCTGGCAGATTTTATGATTGTGCATCTTAGTCTGGTCAATACCAGGAGGCATATTCTGAGCTTTGCTCTTCTGATAATGCTGTGGAGTTCTCAAGCATGATCTTTCAAAGAAGAACTAGTGGGAAAATAAGGATTGTAGAATATGTGCAGGTGGAATACTTATGCTTAAAATAGCATCATGAAGTAAATGTGTGTGGTGACATTTCATAAGTTACCTGATTGTAGTCACTTCTATTAGTCACTTGCTTTTCTGAATAGATTCGGCAAAAGGCTTTAAAACCTGAATATTAAACTGTGATATTTGCGAACTTCACAGATGAATTAATAGTTTATGCAAGTCTTTGCAAATTTTGTAGATTCTCAAAGGTCATTTATATATTGCACATATGCCTACAATGTTTCAGAAAGAATGGAAGCACAAGCTGTAACCAAAATAGGAAGCCTGGTTTAAAAAAACCAATTCCTTTCAGCTAAGACAAGTCATTAATTGATTTATGGGAAAAATCATTGGCAAGAATATATCAAACTTATTAGTGATAGATCTTTCCGTGGTAAAATTTAGAACTTAACATATAAATATAGAAGGAAAAAGAGAGTGTGGGTAATGATTCAGTTGACTTTCTTATATTTTACATTTTCTGTTTTCAAATTTGTCTTAGTTCACCCCACACTTCTGTAGTCATCCCATGCACTGGTTATTTCTGGACCATGGCTTATATGAATTGTAATGCTATACTGTTTGCTAATATTCTTACCACCTACCTTATCATCCTTGTGTCCTAAGAAGGTCACTGAAAGGCACATATAATTCCAACTTTCAGAGACAACCCAGAATAACTTGTTTATAACTGAATATTTTCCCCATTCTTTTTGTAACTCATAGGGTCCTGGTAATCCCTTTTCTCAGCTTCAAGGTACTCACTGACTTCTCTCTCTTACTCAACAGAAAGACTCTTATAATCACATCACTCCAGGAATTAGATACAGTTTTTCAGTGTACTTGTACATATATATAAAAGGCCTGATCCCCCACCGCCAGTTGTCTGTGAGGTTAATTAGAAGTTGCAGCTTTTCAGGAGCTGTACAGCTTATTGTTATAGTATTTCTCTTCAGTTCCTAGTCTTAGTCTTCATGGAGGTCATGAGCCACCCCTGTAACTTCTTCATCCTTGAACTACCAGAAGAAGCTGTCCTTTATGGTTTGCTGGTGCTAGGGCTGAGACACGGATGGGATCTGTATGGCTACCCCTTCCAAAAATTCTAAACCACAGCACATCCAAAACATCCTTATATTTAGTTCTGCGCTACTGATATTCCATGCTCCTTTTCAGTCACTTAGTCATTGTCAAGAGGATGAACGAGACCTCTTTGTGGCAGGAGTTATCTAATATTTGTACCCCATGTGTACAGCACAGACTGATGATGAACTCTGGATATGTTTGCAGGAGCTGGGCACTCAGAGCCTGGGATACTGCACCGACTTCCAGGCAGTGCCGGGCTGTGGCATCAGCTGCAAGGTCAGAGGTGTGGAGGCCATCCTGGGCATGGACGAGGAGGGTCTCGATAAGCTGGACACTAACAGGAGCAGGGACAGTGGTGCTCCTCTGGGAGATAACGCGCTGATCACGCTCTCCGAATCACAGGGTATGTCTGCTGTGAAGTGACCCCCAGTCGCAATGAGAGGGCTAATGAATCAAGAGTGCTGAACACCGTAAACCAATCCTATCAGACTAATAACAGCAGGAAGGTGGATTTATGGCAGAAGAAAACAAAGAACATGAGGGACAAAATTACTCTTTAACAAGAACTGAAGCTCTCTCTTTCCCCTACTCTCACTCTCTCTGCAATTCAGAAACCTAAATAAGAATTCAGATGCTACAATGATGGGTACTCGAAAAGTCCATATAGTACATAGGCAATAAGGTACAGCCAACAACGTCCCTTTTAGATAGAAGAATGGTCCAGCAGAGAGCACAGTTTGCCAGCTAGCATTATCTTCCCATTTAGAGCAGTTACCTTTAACATATGTTATCTTAGTGCTACTTTTTATATCCTACCCTCAAATTCCATATTAACTTGGACCTTTTGTTTTCTGTTCACATATTTTTCAAGGCACTTATTTTAAAAAAAATCTATTCAGCGGATGCACAATAGAGCGTGTTGTATCTGCAAAACGAGTTTCAGTGCCTGATGTTTTTTGATTAGGCCAATACATTTGGTTTTGTTCCAGGCTCTGTGGAAGCCACTTTTCTCTTTTGTAGTATAGGAGAGAAAGAAAAAGTATTTAAAGCCTTCCTTAAGAAGCTCATCTGTTCTCTTCAGAAGACTGTGACTCTCCTGACCTTTTTGAGAAAGCAATTAGAAGAAGTAAATAAAATAAGAAGTTCAATCATCACAACTGTGCCATTTGTGAATGGTGTTAATGTAATATTTTCTCACCTGCTTCATTCAGCTCTTGTGAAGTTGGATTGAATTCATAACAAGGTGCTCTACATACTGCTTCATTGTTTGTTAGAACAAAACCACCTTTTTCTTACCAGATCTAGCCTTTATATTTGAAAGAAGTCGTTAGTTGTGAGAACAAAGCAGCATGGCATTTATGAAATGTACATACTGCACTTATCCAGAAAAACAATGCCAACTGGCAAATACAGGCAAATACTCTGATTAAGTTCATGACGCAGTTCTGCGTATAAACAGGCACAGGTTGAGTCTTGAAGGAGAAAAGTTTTATGAGGCTGTCTTCAGGTAGTGCCTATGCATTTGTGTTTGGCCATGACAGCGTCAAAACTTCAACAAGACTAATTCTGATTGTTTCTTGGGTGTGACCATTGCCAGTCCGGAATGCAAAAACAAAAAAGAAGTAATTAGGAAAACGTCTTGAGAATATCTTTCTATAGCTAAGGCAGCCTGGCATTGTCATCTTCAAACATCTCTGGCTTGTGTGCGCCATTTCTGAGTTGGTCATTTTTCTTTTTGTCTGTGCACAAGGTCCGTCAGCTTCTTGTACGTACTCGGTGTTGATTGGAAATCGTGAGTGGATGCGACGCAATGGCTTGCATATTGCGAATGACGTAAATGATGCAATGACAGACCATGAAACAAAAGGACAGACTGCCATACTAGTGGCTATAGATGGTAACTGCTGTACTTTGGAGTGACTTAATAAATATCAATTCATCCGACCATGGAATGGATAAAAATACACTCTGGAACAATTGATCAGTGGCTTAGTGTCAAGAAACTAGTAATCTTTTAGTGCAGAACTGCTTGTGAACTGCAAAGCTTTAACCTCAGAGCAGTGTATGTAAGATTCTGTTGGGTTGTTTTTAATTTAAGTATTAATTTCTGAATCTCCTGTTGCCTAGGACTGTGGTTCAGAAAAGCAGTGCCAGCTCAGTGCCATGTCCCATCCTGACTTTACATCACCTAAAGATCACATGCCAACCTATTGCATCACTGATTTCAAAACATTTAATGAATAAACATGGTGATTCATTAGATCATTCAAGCATAATAGATTAGACTAAATGAGTTTTGCCAGAGGGGTTCTGTTCTGTGCTATGCAGAAAGAGATCCCAGGCAGTACCTTAATATGAGAAGCTGCTGCAATGGTGATAGATTGCCAGTACATTTGTGATCTTGAAATGCAGCCTCTGATTCAATTAATGAATAAATATTCTTGGTGCTCCTCCAGAGCAATTTTGAGAGGCATTTGCATGTCTCAGCTTCGGCTCCATCAGCAGTCCAGAAAAATCAGGTGCTCCTGACATGGAAATAAGGGCCCTGCTGTACAGCTGGAAACCTATCGCTGCTAGTGAAATAGAGGTACAGGGGTGCAAAGCCTACTTAAGTCCTTACTTTTGAAAGGTAACATGCAACAGTAACACCAATGTGAGTTTTTTGTAGGTCAGGTGAAGGAAACATGGATGCACTTTTGGGTTAATGTGTTGGAAGGCAGATGCAACACTTTTGAATAAAAGCAATTAATTATAATAAAGATCCAGCCTGGAAAGATTAGGGGACATAAAACCAGTTACACTATATGCTTCCTCCCAGAGCAGTGGCTTCAACATCTGCCCAGGGCATAAATACCAAAACTTTCTCTGGCCTACCATCCTATTTGTCCATAGCATAAAACCTACAAGTCAGGCACATTTAAAAGCTACCCTCCTCTTCCCTTCCTCCTGGTCCCTAAATATTAGTGTTTGTTGTTTGATCTGCAACAGATAAATGAGAAAAGTGTGTGTGTGTAAGAGAGAGACCATAACTTAGAAAACTGTAAACAGTTGTTCAGGTTATAAGTGTCAATATTGCCTGGAACATGTCATTTCACAAGCTGCCATGGTGCGATGGAGGGGAAGTCCTGTTCTCCTGCAGCACTTGGCCTCCCACAGCTCTCTCTAATGAGGACCTTTCTTCGTGCAGGCGTGTTGTGTGGAATGATCGCGATAGCAGACACTGTCAAGCAGGAGGCAGCCCTTGCTGTGCATACGCTGAAAAACATGGGAATAGACGTGGTGCTGATAACGGGGGACAACAGAAAAACTGCAAAAGCCATTGCTACTCAGGTATCTGCTTCTTTGTGTTTCAAAAAAATACGTGTTGAGGTTCTAAAACTCTGCTTATCCCAGTGAATTTGGAGCAGGAACTCAGAGTTTCCCTAGATACGTTAAATGAAGACAAACTCTTCTTGAATTGGACTGCAAATACAGTCAGGTACAATGGCACAGTAAAGGACAGTGGCTCCATTGAAGACAAGTGGTCAGTACTTCTCCAGAGGTACAGAGTTTCTTGCAGTAATTAGCCTGTTGCTGAACTGAAGCCTCTTGTTTCCCTTCACTGAAGGGCAATGGTGTTTGGGAAGTGACAAAGGAAAGATCCTTTAAGGCCCAGTCCTGCTCCCAATAAGGGAAATAGGGATTTGTCATTATCTTTAAGGGTAACATAGTAGTAATGGTAAGCATTGTTGTTAAGAAGCATAGCAGTCTGAAAGAGGTTGGGTTTATATGAGATTTCCTTAATCTCCAAAGGCAAAGCCAGATTCTCATTCCACCTCCTCCACCTTCATTTCCCTAACTTCTAAACTGTTGTGTGCCACCTTGCTTTTCTCGGGTATTCCATCACACACCTAACTCAGCCAGCACTGTGGTATGCACGTTCTCTTGTGTTATGAGGTCTATTATGTTCCTCAGTGCGATGCTTTAATCCTTCTCCTGTTTTGATTCATGCTTTCACTTTTGTGTTCGCTTGTGGTAAAGCACTTTCCCACCCCACCTTTCCTTGCTAAGAGAAGTCATCTTTCAGAAACAAGGTTTGATTTAGGGTCCAAACAGATGAAGTTTTCAAACAAGTTTAGTCTGTGCCACCCTACATTTTAATTGAATTTTTGGCACTTACTTCCTTTCCAATTAAAAAAAAATGGTAACCCAGTCCTAAAAAACTTTTTTAAATGTTACTTTTTGAAGGGTTAATAGAGAGCTGCTACCTTGTGTAGTGAAAAGGTGATCTCTGCCTGGTGAGGCAGCCAAACCAGGGGCACCATCCCAGCTCTCTTTAGTACACCCACCTGTTTTTCAATGACAGTGCTAAAGACATTGGTAGCAACTCTCTGTCAGTTGCGATGTGGATGGGTACAGGTGTTTAGCCATCCATCCGCTTTATTTTCATAGTTTCCCTGAGACCTGCACATACTTGATGTTTCTGTGTTTCCCCTAGTGTAACTGCCTGATCATACCTGGTTCCTGTGCTGCATTTCACTGAAACCCTTTTTTTGGCTCATCGATGATCATGATTAGCTGAAAACTGGCTCTTTTAACCATTAGACCTTTATTGCCAGGGCAGTAGAGCTTCAGAAGGGCTGCAGGGCATGACGCTAATGGCAGAGCATGGTTTGCCAGCATCTCTGCAGTAAAGATGGAGGGGACTGTGGTCTGTCCCTTTCTTATGCCAAAGTCATGTTGCTTTTCAGCTTTCTGTGTAGCTTGCAAGCATTGCCTCCACATGAATCAGTTTGGCTGATCTTTCTTTGTTTCCCCTTCATCTAGAACAATAAATGGCTCTTCTTTTTGGCATGAAGTGTATCACCAACTGGGTTTCTTTCTTTCGTTGTATGTAGGTTGGGATCAAAAAGGTCTTTGCCGAGGTTCTTCCTTCTCACAAGGTTGCAAAGGTCCAAGAACTTCAAAACGGGAGGAGAAAGGTTGCGATGGTTGGTGATGGAGTCAATGATTCCCCTGCACTAGCCAGGGCCGACGTTGGAATTGCAATTGGAACAGGCACCGATGTTGCCATTGAAGCAGCAGATGTTGTTCTTATCCGAGTGAGCACTACAGTTTTGACCTGTCCTTGTTTATCACTGACACTCCTCTCTTTGGTTTGGTGTTCTGAAGGCTGCATGTGGAAAACTTCCAATGCTCTTCTGTCTTGCAGAATGACTTGCTGGATGTAGTTGCCAGTATTCACTTATCAAAGAGAACAGTTCGAAGAATACGAATAAATCTGATCCTTGCCTTGATTTATAATCTGCTTGGAATACCCATAGCAGCAGGTATGTCACTGCCAGAGCTCATCTTATCGAAGGCAGCGGCCCACCTGAGCTCTGTGGTACCTCTCAAGGGATTCTGTGCTCAAGGAACCAAAGAGAGGTTCCTACAGTATTTAAAACTTGGCAGAAGGAGGGCAAAATAAACATGTTATTTCTTCTTCTTCTTTTTTTTTTTTTAATGTTGTAGGCAAAAATCTTTATTCCCCAAATTTTAAACTCTTAGGAGTAAAATCTTATATGATGAAATTAAAACCATGTTCTTATTTCACATAGCAGTCCTTGGGGATTAGTTTCTGTTATTCAAACCCAACTCTAATCAGAGATGCCATCCCACTTCTGGGTTCTCCCTCTTTTATTCGCTCTGAATCACATGTTTTCATTCTCTCTGCTTCTGTCAGACATCTTCTCATGCTCCAAATTCCTCCTTACTTCAAGAATTCCTCTTTTTTTTTTTTTTATGGGCAACTTCTCTTTCCTTTGCCTAGCCTATTCCCTTGCCTTTCTGTTGCTTTTGATTTGTTTTATACGTGCAGAGTAGCTGGAAGGGACAAATAGTCTTACCTTGTGGCTGCAGTCGTGTAGCTGAATTGGTGCAGAGGTCATCCTTGCAATGGAATGGACATAAGGATTATCAATATATATGTCTAGTGTTTATGGGTGTCTCAGCAAGTCATGTTGTAGAACTGCTGATCTGTTCTGTGATATGAAGGGACAGAAGTGTCTGTATTGGGCCAGGAGGCTCTGGCTCACGTCCGTATGTTTTTTTGCTAGGGGTGTTCATGCCTGTTGGCCTTGTGCTTCAGCCTTGGATGGGATCAGCTGCAATGGCAGCTTCTTCTGTGTCTGTCGTGCTGTCATCTCTGCAGCTGAAATGGCAAGTTGTCTTACACTAATCAATTAACTCTACCCTGACTAAAACCAGCGCACTGGGGAACCGTAGGCAGCACTGCTGCCGGGACTCAAGCGACACATTACTTGGAGTTTTGTATACCTAAAAGCATCTAACAGTCCTTTAGCTGGGGGGTGTTCTATCTAATTCTTGGCTCCAAAAGAGACAGTGTCAAGATTATGAACACACCTGGACTAGGACAGTACTGAGCATTCTTTAACTAGCAGCTAAAAGTGTGGCCAGATGCCACCTGGGCACCTGTGTTGGCGATCAGTTCAATACCAGGTGGGGTGATGATCAGCACTGGTTTTACTGTGAATATCAAGTGAACAAATCCTTCAGAAGATAGTTCTCCATAAAGTAGCAGTAAATGTTTTTAGAAGATTTGTACCTGCTTTTATTTTTTTTGTGTATTTAATTTAACCAGAGAGAAAGAGAGAAGCAGTGTATTATTTTGCACCTTACTACAGATAAAGTTTCTTGCTTATTTTTTTGGAAGTGAACTAATTTCAGAACTGTAATATAATTTTTCAAATGTTATTGATTTTTTAATGCTCCATTTTCTGGGTGTGTTTTTTGGGTGCAATTACAGTGGACCTGTTTTTAACAGCATTGTGAGCAAACATCTTTCAAAAATAAGACCTTTTATGGTGCCAGAAATTAGTCCAAACCTTCACAAATTTCTACTGTAGCTGTGGTCTTCTGTAGAGTAGAGTAGAGTAGAGTAGAGTATAAACTCATACAGGAAATCTGTTGCATGTTTCTGACCCTGCAAATGCTCAATGAGACCACAATCTAGAATAAAAGCTACATACCTGCTCATGTCTCTTTGCAGAGTCAGCCCTACCACTACAGGATTTTCATCCTAAAAACTTTCCGTGTGTAGTTATCCAAAGGATGAGAATTTTCTCATTGGAGAATTCCTTTATTCTCCAATTATTTTGATCTTGTGCTGACTATCATTGTGATTAGATATTGAGAACCCCTCAAAACATAATTTGCTTCAGACTTATGGAAGCTGTATTACAATATACTCCGTAGGACAATAATCTTTCTTGAAGCTTCACATCAGCTGAACAGAACTTCAGATTGCAAAGAACACGATAATACATACATGTGAAGAACATACCTACTTGCCATTGCTGGAATACATCGCCATACCTAGAATACATTGGACCAGAGAGTGATTTTTGGGTCATCGAGTCCATTCCCCTGCAACTGTCTGCTACAAACCTGTTCACAATTCAGCAAATTCATATTTTTTCTTAAAGAACCTCACTTTGAGAGTATCTCTCTTTTCTCTTAATGCCACGTGACCAGCAATCTTAGCCATCAGCATTGTGTCTGAAGGAACATTCTGGTTATCGGAAGTTTCTGATCTGTTCTAATGCCTAAGATGCTTCTACACATTGAGCTCTTGGCACTAAACACCTTTTCTCTTTCTCTTCTTAGTTATAAGAAGCCAGACACAGAAAGTTATGAAGCACAAGCTCAAGGCCGCATGAAGCCACTTACTCCTTCCCAAATCAGTGTTCATATTGGAATGGACGACAGGAGGAGGGATTCATCCAGATCGGCTCCTTGGGATCAGATTAGCCAAGTGTCTCTCTCTTCCTTGACTTCAGACAAGCTGCCGAGACGTAATGGTTTTGTTGAGGAGGACGGGGACAAGTGGTCATTGCTCATGAATGGAGGAGACGAAGAACAGTACATCTGAAGTACGATATTCTTAGCACAGAACGAAACGTTCCTCCTCACCAGTGATGGGAGGGACTGACTTAAGTCATTGAGAGCTTCAAGGCTGTAAGTGAAGTCATTCCTTCAGCTCACAAACCAATTGCAACTTGGCTCAATGCTGGGTTGTATGGACTGTGGACTTTTTTCAGGTCACCAGTTATTTCTAGTCACGGAAAGAATCCATGGCTCTATAATGAACTAGCTCCTTTTTACAGAGCAATTAGTGAAATAATGTAAAATTGTAATTTTCAGCATCTAAAAGAGTTTCTGTCTTCTGGACCGTTTACTGGGCACCAAATTTCATACTTTTTATTCTTTCTAACCTTATTCTTTCAAGTGCACCTGAAGCAAAAGCATTTTCAGAGCTACCAAATACTAATTTCTGTGTCCAAGTGCAAATAGCCTCGGCAAAAAGACCTCTGTGGTCGGAATTTGTATTTTTACACAGAATCCTAACTAGTCACATCACTGTGAGAGCACTTTGTATTTAGGATTCACGTGTGTCTCGTCTCCTTGGAACAAAAATGCTTTGGTGTTTCACTGACTATAACTCTCTGGAAGGTCTCTCTCAAAGATTTTCACTTGCTTTCAGGTATCACATCCTTTCCATGCATATTTCCTGTGCTGAACTTGTCCTGTCATTCCCACTGCTCCCCTAGATTTTCTCTTTTGCTCCATACAAGCTCTTTTCCCCCCTTTATTCACATAAGATATCTTCTATGAGTTATTATTATGTTTACAGATATTCCAGTTTGGGACAAACTCCTTTAAGTCACCAGCAACTTTTCCATTCCTATTGAAGTCTGTAAAGGCAGAGCAATTCCTGGTCTGAGTTAGCATACCATTTTCCTGTGGATACCTTACAGGGCCCTGTGAAGCTCCTGGCAATTGGGCAGCTGTCTGTCTCTTCCCTCTGGCAGAGTGAAGGATTTATGCCAGGGTGAGCGAAGGTGCTATGTACCATGGTGTGACTGAGAGGGCAGCTAGCTCTGGCGTGACTCCAGCATGGCTGAACGGAGTGAGTTTACTGCGTAAGTTAAACCCAGCTTGCTGGTTTCTTAAAACGGAGCCAAAATTTTAAACGGTAAAGGTGGGAAAATGGCCTTAAAATGCAGGGCTTCTATCTGTTATGATATAAACAACCTTTTCTGATGACAGATGGACTTGAACTAAGAAGATTTTTATAGCTTGAATTTTAATGTAAATTTGTATTTGTGTTTTGAATTGGTTTTGATTTCCCTCTTAGCTCTAGTTTAATGAGAAATCAAGGTGCTGAACGACCCTTTTATACACTGTAATGTCTTTACCAAAGCTTGCAGTAACTGTATCACTGTGAATGTCAAATTTGCCCCTTAAGACTTTTTAGTAAGGACAGTAGGAATCCCGGGATTTGGTGCACTGAATCTTGTCCCAGGGTACTGCCTTGCACAACTGTGGGACTCTGAAGCAAGCATAGTCTAATCTAAAAGGTGAAAGAACAGGAATTACTGTGCTGAGCCATGTGAAATAACCACTTAATTTCACAGACTTAATTGTTTCCATCACAGGTTCAAATCCTGCTCCTCCTCATGTTAAAATGGAAAACAAGTCAAAGAGGAAAAGAATTGTGCTTAAAGCATTGAGCAGCCCTTCCTATTCTCTCTTCCTCTTAATATTATATTAGAGCTTTCCTTAGCAAACATCGACAGCACTGTCTTAAATATAATTACAAAGTAGTTTTAAAACTGTAAAATCTTCTTCTAGGTGTAGAGATTGCCTTCACAGAGCACACACTTTTCAAACATGCTGTAGTGCCTATACATGTCCCTGTGGGGAAGATGGTCCTATTGTTTCACGGTTTTACGTTTTCTTACTAGTGCTTACAGTAAATATTGTGGGTTTTTTTTAAAAAGCAAACAAACAACAAATAACTTGGTGTCTTGGTTTTTCTTTCTTTTGGAGGGGTACAGCCAGAAGAAAAAATAGCATAAGCCGTGACTGTTGGCTTGCAGGGTGCATATGCACCATATCATTGCCAATGAGCATGTTGGTTTACACAACACGGTCTGCAGAATTCCGTGAGCTTGACTCAGCGTACTTCACACCCACCAAGATAAACCCAAGAAATTCAACCAATTCATCTGTTTTGATGGGCCACATCTTTGTGTCATTTGAAGTTACAAGAAGTTCTGAGACAGATTTGAGCAGAACCAAGACTGACTTCATCACAGGGTTGACTTGATCCCCACTTTTTGAGTCTTTGCTCTACAGTTTTCTGCTTATTACTGCAACAAATATGAAAAATAGCATGTCAAGGATCATGATATGCATATTCTTAACTACCATGTACATGGAATAAGAAAGATTCTGTGGATGATTGATGTGACAGCTTTGTGATCTAGTTCAGGCAGGATAAGCCGGGGGAAGGAGACAGTGTTATTTTGTATGTTGAGGCAGGTGAAGTTGCAAGTATGTTGAAGGGTGGAAGTAGGATTCAAAATAATTTTGAGAACTTGGACAGAACTGACAAACTTTGCAAACAGGAAAAAGAGGAATTGAAATTAGCTTAGCAGAAAAAGGTCAAGAAGTTGCTGGCATTCATTTTGTGACCCATTCTAACAACACAGTGATGCTGCAAAATGAAGAGAAATGTTCAGATATATAAAGACTATATACAATCACAGGATGGTTTGGATTGGAAGGGACCGTAAAGACCATCTAGTTCCAACCCCCCTGCCATGGGCAGGGACACCTTCCACTAGACCAGGTTGCTCAAAGCCTCCTCCAGCCTGGCCTTGAACACTCCCAGGGCTGGGGCATCCACAGCTTCTCTGGGCAACCTGTTCCAGTGCCTCACCACCCCCTCCGGGAGGGATTTCTTCCTGATATCCAATCTAAACCTCCCCACTTTCAATTTAACCCCATTCCCCCTTGTCCTGTCACTACAGGCCCTTGTAAAAAGTCCCCCCCAGCTTCCTTGTAGCCCCTTCAGGTACTGGAAGGTGCTGGAAGGTCTCCCCGGAGCCTTCTCTTCTCCAGGCTGAACAAGCCCAACTCTCTCAGCCTGTCCCCATAGCAGAGGGGCTCCAGCCTTCTGCGTGGCCTCCTCTGGACTCGCTCCAAGATATAACATTTCTATGACATAAAATACCTCTTTCTGTTCATCTCGGGGTAGGGGGTGGGCGGTGGGAGGGGGCATCAACTGAAGTATCAGGTCTAGTTTTTTATGTCATACTTGTTAGGAAAAATTGGAAACAATTCAGAAAATGAGATTTAACTGAAATCTAGAAAACATGAGAACATAAGTACGCGAGAATGAGAAATGTAAGAACGAAAGGGGTTGAGTAGGTTTCCCTACAAATGAAATACAAGTCTCCATACACAAAGAGAACAATTTATTCTTTTCATCTTTTCAGTGTCTTTTGTGTTCGTAGTGGCTAGAACAAGAAATAATGGGCTTATTGAATCAAAGATGATGTAGATTAATCACTGGGGAGGAACTGTGTAACAGCAAAGATTGTGGAGCACCAGAAGAGATTGCTGAGCAGGGCTCTTGGGATGTGCTTGGCAATCAGGCACATATCTGATGACAATGCATTAGTCAGAGGTGAATCCTGCCTTGGGGCAGCCGACTGCCCGTGACAATCTCCTGACCTTCTCTCCAGCTGGCCTTTCTCTTCTTTCTGTCAGCGCAGTATGAACTGGAGCAGAGGACTGATCATGCTATCCTGCTCTCAAGCGGTGCCAAAGCACTGGAGGAAAGATCGGCTTTGACTTTATTTAGTAACTTGAAATGGACTGGAGAATATGTTAAGGGTTCCTAACTATATTTGCATAATACCTTAGACTGTTAACTGCTGTGAAACTTGCATAAATGCCTGTCAGGAAATTAGAATAGCTACACATAGTCAAGAAAAGAGACACTATAAGTGCTAGTCCTGACTCTTGTGACCATGTGCTCTTGTTAAACGTGAGCTGACTCACTGGAGGGGCATCTGGGATTAAGGACAGCACCTGCATTTCTGCATATGAGCTTTCCTTGTCTTCACCAGGACCATCTGCCTGCAGATACCCCAGCAGAGCGAGGTGCTGGCCTGAGACTGGTACTCCCCTGCGCTAGGAGCCAGGTCCAGTAAAAGCACTGCAGGAGGGTGCCCAAGGGGCCGGGCTCTTGGGGTGATCCCTAAACTCTGTGCCCCAGCCACTCAGTGCACCATGCTTCTCCTCTTTCCCAGCACTGTGTATTTTGATGGATTAGTGTGAAGGACGGAGGTTTTCAAATCCCAGTTTTGGTCTTAGGTGCCTACATTCTGTACATTCTCCTAGCATGACCCAGTTACTGCCAATCTGACTCTAAATGTTCATGTGTCTGATGATTTACATTGGATGTATAGTTATTTTGCCATGGGAAATGTTCCCAAGTCTTTTCCTGTTGGTTTGGTTTTGGTTTGGTTTAGTTTGGTTGTTTGTTCGGGTTTTTGTGATTTTTTTTTAATCAACAGAGAAGACATCTAATGAATCAGATCTTTTACTTTGACTTTCATGTTATTTTTAGTGCAATAAGTCAGGAGCAGTGTTTCCCCATGAAGTTTTTCAACTAATTCCCTTCTTGTTGTTATAGTTTTGCCATAAATTTTTTGGTAGTAAGTTCACAGGAAAGAAATTATTCCATTTCAGTTCCTTCTACTCCCCTCGCCCCCTGGCCTTTCAAGCAAATTAACTGTCTGATTTCTATCCAAACTGATTACAACCTTTCTCTGACTACATACTCCTCCTCCGAGGATTGTATTTTCTCTAAATGCACTTGTGTGTGAAGAAAACAAATGAGTGGGTGGTGAAATTATACAATGGTGTGCAGGGATGGGAAATCAGATAACACCGAAATGTCAGATTTAATTTTCTCTACTCAGACACCAACAGCTAGGGTGTTGGTTTTCAGTGGGAAATCGTTTGTGAGTCACAACAAAAGAAGTGGTGAAGCACAAAGCATCCGGCTCACATGCGAGTCTCAGACAGGCACAAACGTGGGAGCAGGCAGATTAATTCCTCTCCTTGCCTCCAGTGAAAAGCACCCAGCCTTTGCAGGCAAGCACAGCACATCCACAGGGTCTCTCTGTAACGATCTGATTTTTTGGATTTGTATATCTTCATTCACAAAAGGATGGTTTCTGAAGTTTCATAGAATCGGAATTGTTCAGGTTGGAAAAGACCATTAAGATCAAGTCCAACCGTTAACCTAAGACTGCCAAGTCCACCACTAAACCGTGTCCT